GGGGGGGGGGCGCTGTCGGGTAGTTTTTACTACCTTCAAGAGCACTTCAAGGGCTCAGAGACTCATATGCCAATATAAAATAATTCATATTGCAATGTGTGGCCAGACAGCATCAGGGAGATCTGGGAACATTACTGAGGGCAGGCTACCATTATAAGCTAAAATCTTACAGATGAAAAGACAAAATCATAAAAATAATACACATTTTGATTGTCGTCACTTCAAAAGATTGTTTTCTTGGGATGAATTCGGTGGCCTTTTGGAATAAGTTTCCTCCAACGTTTTTATGAAGGGACCTTTTTGTTTTTTGAAACCAAAGGGGATATGATTTGAAGTGGAAAAAAATCTGGGTCACACTCAGTAGGGGAAAAAAAAAGAAGACATTTTTGAAGCCAACTTTACAATTTTCATTTAAATCAAAGCCTCATGTTAGGAGAGTGTAGCTGTTCTTAATGACACACTGGTACTAATAGGAATGGTAATCTATACAAGTGCCTGGAAGACCTTGCAAGTCATATTTTGAAATAATATCAGGAAATTAAATTGTGTTTCAACATTTGGTTTTTGGTATCACATGTTTATTATGAGACCTACCTGAAAGCCATGATCTCACAAAGGGATCATAGGACCATCCTGACTGAAGCAACACAGCAAACCAGAAGATTTAACAGCACTCCTTGGGGGCAGCTGGTGGTGCAGTGGTTAAGGCATTGTTTCCCAATCCGGTCCTCGGGAACCCACAGATAGTCCACGTTTTTCTTGAAGCAAAAATGTGGACTGTGGTAGGGAGCTTGGAGGGAGAAAAAACATGGACCGGCTGCACGTCCCCGAGGACCGGTTTGGGAATCTGAGTTAAGGACATCTTTGTAACCTGAAGACTGAATCCCAGGAAGGTTTTGATATAGCAACCAAAGCATGAGCCCACTAACTCTAGGAATCATTCTTGTGGACCAAGACTGACAATCATATTAAACCATTGATATTTGGAAAAAACAGGAAAAAGCTCTTGTGTGTTTATCATGCCGTGTGCTTGAAGAATCTCTACATGAGCAGGACACTCAACCAGGCCACCTTAACGCAGTGGTCCTGAAGAGGGTGGGGGGTTCTCATCGTTGCTTATCCTACAAAATCATTCTTTGCAGCATTTCCATCTCAAAACCCATTTCACATTCAAAGGCTGGCCTTGCACCTAAGGGCTGCTTATGACATGTAAGAAAAGGCAGATCAAAGCCAACACGCAGTACTTTACAGGGCTCACACTCTTCGCTCTGCTAGGGTCTAAAGCTAAAGCTCTCTTCTATTTCAGAGGCAAATCAGACAGCAACCAAAAGATCTGTGATGTCCACTTTCAATCATGCCCCTAAACAAAATAAATTCCCCATAAAAGCATAGCTGAAGGCTACATCGTACCATCCAAATTTGTCATTCATATAAAAGCCATACTAAAAATATCAAAAAGCCATACCACAAATCCTCCTTCAGGTTAAAACAAAAAAGAGAATCTGATTACTCTCCTGCATGTCATCTTCTGCATCAAACCCTCTGTGAAAGCCATCAACCTCACATCACATTACTGATGAAAGGACTGTTTGTTTCAGATCCGGGACACCGAGGCCACAGTCCTAGCTTTACTTGCCCCACGAAACCCCATGGTTCAAGTTTTTAGACTAACGAGCCTGAGGGACAAAACCTGATCTAACAGTTTAGTACTGAAGTTTAGTACATGGACTGTTTGTCCATGACAGCCGCAGATCATTAAATAACTGCTTTAAACAGAGGCCGTCCTGTTCAGACAGATGACTGAAGAACCTTCATTTGCAGGCTTCCTGCATGCAAATGAAGAACCTTCTACCAGGTCCCTTGGGGGCTATCCTATACACTGGATAGGTGAATAAACCTTATGCCCTCTGAGTTTGACCATTATACCTCTGATCCTAGCAGATTCCAAGTTAGGGAGACATCCTTCATTAGAACGATATACACAGCTTGATAGTGCTTGCTGCCATCTTGCACACATCTAACATGCATGCAGACTCATATTCCCATAATGCATTGCCAACTTCAAATATGGCAGCTCACAAAGGTCACAACACACAACCATCTTTCTCTCTAAAGGCAGCATTTAACCACTCCAGCCTTTCCTGGTCACACTGTGCTGAAAACTTCAGAAAAGCCAGACTTCAGGTAGGTAAACGAACGCTAACAAACAGGAGCCATCTGCCTCCAGAAGCCACAACAGTGACAGAGGCACCACCTTCCATTTTCAAGGTAATTTCGGTCACATTCCCCACACCAGCCTCTTCCATCCCCCCAGCAACAAACAAAAATTGTAACAGCAAACATTGATGGAAGACATTTAATTCAAAGCCATTTACAGGGCTAATTCCAGGATCACACCAATCTCAACGTGTGATATTCTAACAGCACGTTGCCATGGCAAACATTCCCAGCAGCGGAAGTGAGCATCACTCCCAGGCGAAGTCAGGTAGCCACCTCATGTAAATGGCTTCCTGATCAGGTAAGCAGGGGAACCGGCAGCCCAAATTAGCTCCTGGAGAAGCTGACAATTACCAGATGATTCAGAAATAAATTACAATCCTCCAAAGGTTTTGTCCACCATTGCACACAGACAAGCACACACATGCACAAATATCAGCAGGAAACAGCCTTACGTGATCATGGAAATCTTCATCCACATTGTAGTCATTCAACCAGTCTTTATAACAGCATTGCTCAACACAGTCATCAGGGACTCACAGACAGTCCACATTTTTGCTTCCTCACAGCTTACAGAACAGCTGAACTAAACAATCAAAAACAACCAATACTTGGGACAAGTATATTGGGAGCTGGGAGGGAGCAAAAATGCGGACTGTCTGGGGGCCCGCAAAGACTGGGCTGAAAAACACTGCTTTTGATGACAAGTTAATCAGAAACAAAAGCGCTGTAAAACAGGCCATTAAAACCGGGAAAACAAAACAGATTGAACCCTTAGAAAATCCCAACCCACCCAACCCAAAAATAATAAGCAGAGACACCCACAAACAGAATCACAAAGCACAAGACACATCTGCTGGTCAACATATAATGCCCTGGGGTTTATTTTTTTGTGAGAGTTCGGTCACATTTTCATTTTCCAGGTGGGATTAGAAAACCTCAAGGGTTAAGTGATGCCATTGGACTGGGCATTCAGGATGTGGTACTGACAAAAACTACTAGTAGCCTTGTTTTAAAGTACCATACTCTTCACAGAAGAGAGCATAAGTCATTCCAAAGGAAGGCACCCAAATACTTGTGGTTCTGGCCTTGCAGCTTTCTGGAGAATTTTTAAAAAGGAAAAAGCTGGCTTTTCTCTTTTGTTTTTTTTTTTGTAATTTTTCTCTCTTTTTTAAGAAATTGGAATGATGATACACATACAATTACTGCCATTCATCTCCCTTTTATCCTTTTTCATGAACGAGTAACAAAAGAATGAAGTCTTTCGATACGAGACGCATAGTCATTACCACAAGGAGAAAAAAAATACAAAAATAACTCAATCTGTGTTTTACAAAAGAAAATGAGGGGATTAAAAAGGCATTCGGGACTCCATGTCATGAAAACCAGGGACCCAGGTTATAGAAAAGCAGCAATGATCACGATAAGGAGTATAGTGCTTGTGTTACTTCAGACGCAGGGCCGGCTTCAGGCCCAGAACCCCCTTCTTAGTTTATTACCTGTGTCGGGACAATTTAAATGGAAGATCCCACTACGTAAGGTTACCCACTAACAAATCGCAGCACCCCCAACCCCCCCCCCGCCAAACCTGCCAATTCCATATGTCACCACTGAATCCACACTACACAGAAACCTCAGGAGCCCAAGGGGGACCGAGCCAAAATTCACGATATACAAAATTACAGGAGTCCATAGCTACCTAACATTCACTACAGCACAGGAACCAATGAGGGTACAGTGTACAAAAAAAAAAAAAAAAAAAAAAAAAAAAAAAAAAAAAAAAAAAAAAAAAACCTGTAAACACAGCACAATAAATAGATAAAACAGCAGGTTGCTCACCATGCACAACGTGATGACATATCTCTGTACAACCCTCTCGTCTCACTCACCAGTTTTCTATTTTTTTCCCAAGTGCAAAACATCACAAATGAACGGTTCTGTATTCAAGTAACGTATATACAAGGGATATTACAAATATGCAGTACTGTACATATAATTGCCATATTCGTATTTACAGTCGCAGATTTCCTCCTATTAACAGTAACAAAACAAAAAAAAATTAAAAGCGTGAGAGATGAGAATTGCCATTAAGTCCCGGGGGTCGCCATGGAGACGCCGCACTGCACGCCACCACGGTCCGAATGCTACGATGCACAGCACCTAGAGGGGGCCCCCGCGAGCAGGGCCACCTGCCACTACGTCACCTCCATGACCACCGTGGTGTCCGCTATACTGTTCAGTGCTGCCTTCTCCTGCTCATGCTTTTCCCTGCAGAGACAGGAGAGTCACACTCAGCACCAGGCCCCCTGGGATGCTGACCACTGACCGAGAACAGAGGTCATCCTGGGCCATGTGGACGTCTCACCTTGGCACCATGTCCATGGATGATGAGGCGGCGACCTTGGGCATCTGACAGTTCGTGGGCGCGGCCAGCTTTAAGGCAGACGGGACCGCGCCCATAGTCCTGGGTGGATGCCGCGTGTTCAGGGTGCCGACAGCGCCCCCTGGAGGGGGCACACCCAAGCGCACACTGTTCCCGATCAGGACCTGAGTAGTGGAGTTGGCGGCGGGCGTGTGGTGAGCAGGCTCGCTGGCAGAAATGGCAACGGCATTGCTGCTGCTGTTCGTGGCTGGCTGGGGGAAGGCGAAGACGGCTGCCACTGGCTGGCTCACGGGAGGCGGGACTGTCGTAGTGCTAGAGAGATGCAAGCCCTTGTAGACTCCTGGGAGAAGAAGAGAGACTCCATCAGGAACAGCAGCAAAATGAGGGCCATCAGCAAAATGAGGGCCATCTTCTCTTTTCGGTTCAAAGCTGACCGTGGTAAGAATTTCGGCTTACTGGGTTTGCATATGGACCTACCTGAGGCCTGGACCACACCATTGACACCGGCTCCCAGCACCACCTCCTCTTTGGGCTTGGAGCTGATCAGCTGCTCTTTTGTCACCAAAGCGGAGGCAGCAAACTGGGCACTGACAGAGTCCAGCGTCTTCGACACAGAACCCTAGGGGGAAGCAAATTCAGCATTAGCAGGGCGTCGAGTCCGGTGTGTCACAAGATGGCTGCTGTGGAGCAGTGGCGCATACCTGCGTGCTGCTGCTGAGCTGCAGCTGCGTCTGCGCCAGCTGCTGTTTCTGCATGAGGGCCAGCTGCTCTTGGTGCTGCTGGTACTGTTCAGCCGTGACTGTGGGGACACGGCGTATGCAAGGGTCATAAAGCAGGGGTTGCTGTGGTCAACTATCGAGTAAGCAGGGCTCATGTGACGGGGGTCACAGGGGTCAGCTACCAAATACACAGGCCACTAGCCCCACTAAGCGAAGGGTGACAAACTAGTATCTCAAACTCCAACCATGAAGTTCACATTTAAATATGTGCCCTCTAAAAATGGTAGCTGGAAGTTTGAAGGCAAAATTGATGACTGAAAAACATTCTCTGCTCCGTTTAGGTCATGTCCCATGTAGCGGATAGCCCCCCACCCCCCACCCCTCCTAAAATTCTCCTGCTGATCTTAACATTGACAAGCTGAGGGGATTCCAGACTAATCAGGTTTAAACACTCATTAAAATGCTAATGCTGTGTTTGCGTGACCTATGAAAATCAAATAAACTGAGAGGGGGTGATACTCACCAGCAGGGAATGCCGCAGTGCTCCCACCCCTCCGGTTTTGAGACGGAGGTCCCCCTGCCAAGGTTCCGGATTGTGCTGCAGACAGTCGGCTCAATCCCTGGCATGGGCGATGGGACTGGGCCTCCCCTCCATGCACACTGTGTGGCGGCGGCGTCCGGGGGCGGAAGTGTCTCCGGCGGGACGCTTTGATGTTGGACAGGACGCGGTTGAGGTCATGAGAGGGGCCTCTGTCGGAGGTATTTGTGTCTGAGGTACCGGCGGGGTCTTCAGCCAGGCTGCGGGGCAAGGGGACCAGCCGCTCTGGATCTGGCCCGTCGATCGAATCGTCAAAGTCCGTATGAGCCCTGTCCAGTAACACCCTGTGGCAGGAGGGCAGGGGTCACCCTGAGGCCTGACTGGCCCCCAAAACATCTCCAAACCACCTGGCCACCCCAACGGCTTGGATGCCCCCACCCCCCACCCAATCAGAAGCGTGCAGGGCTCACCTGCCCCCCCGGCCGATTCGCCGGCGTGCTAAGCCCACGCAGCGCCTGGGCACCGACAGAGAGGTGAGGCAGTATCTGTAGAGCACGTCGCCCAGACCTCCTTCGGAAGGGCTGCACCACGGCCAGCCGCTGGCACCCTGGGCGTCTCGAGGCTGGGGTGGGGAAGAGAGAGGGAAAGTCAATCAGCGTTTGGAGAGAGACATACAAAAAAGCCAAGACGACGAAGAAGGCAGCTGCCCGGACACTCACAGCGTAGTACTGACAGCCTGCCCTCCTCCGGAAAGCGAAGGGCCCGTCTGGGTCATTCTCCTCCTCGACATCGGAGGAACCTGATTGAATATGCTGGTTGGAGATGGGAGAGAGAGAGAGAGGGGGGATGAAGCCTGACCGTTGGGGGGGGTTGGTGGATTTACAGAGCTCTTGGCCTCCCCGTATGCAGACTCTTAGGTGGCGAGTACCTGGGAAAAGGGCTCGTCGTCTGAGCTGGGAAAATCGTACTGGTTCAGGTCCTTGACACTGAACACGGACGGACTTGTCTGCTGCAGTGCAGAAGCCGACAGTGGTAAGACTTTGGGCTTCTTCTCATATTTCCGTTTCGTCCTGACGACTTCTGTCTTCTCGGGCTGGTGGGACGGCCAAACAGGGGTGGAGTTACCATATGTGGCCAGAGGAATGATCACTTTACAGTTCCTTCATGTCCTTCAGCCATGAAAAGCAAAGACCTGCACTAGACAGGAAGATGCTGCCCCTTCCCATGAAGCCCTGCTGCTGAGCACCAACACCCAAGTAGGTGGTCTGGAGGAGCAGCAATGGTTTTAGGCTCACCTTAGCTTTGTACTCCATCTCCATGTGATCCTGGTGCCTGTACTGGTTGCTGCTGGACAGTGGAATGATGGGAATGGTGTATGTGGGCTTCACCAGGGCCCTCTGGGCCAGCACCTCCGCCATGACCTCGCCGCCGAAGTCGGCCATGCTGTACCTAGGGCAGTAGACAGGTGGCGCTGGGTCAGGACATACCACTGCCACTACAGCACTATGATTTAGCCTTCCAGGTTTTATATGCCCTCTGAGAGGCGAGGGGGCTGACCTCTTCTCCACGATCTCCAGCGTGAGGTGCAGAAGCTCCCGCTTGCTCTTCTCCCTGCGCTTGATCATCTCCAGGATGGTGACGGCCCGGCTCAAATCCCGGCGCAGCTTCAGCATCTTCTCGTACGACGCCTCGTCGTTTTTGCGGTTCTGGGATCAATAAGCCAACAGTCAGTGGAGCCCAGAAGCTATACCAAGGCACTGGAATGTGGTTAGGTGTCAGTGGGTGAGGAATAGGAAGCCGGCACGCCCCCTACCTTGCGCGTCTGCATCTTCTCCGTCCTTCGACGGAAGGCCACATAGGGATCGTTGGTGCTGGAACCATCACGCTTCTCCTGCTTGATGCCGGAGATGAGGGAGATGCTCTCAGAGGGCCTCCGCTTGCGCGTCCAGTACTCAAACACCTCGCGGATGAGCTCGTCATCTTCCTTCAGCAGCAGCTTGGCCTCTTGCAGGGTCACCAGCTGTGAAGGGCCAAGGGAGGACAGGGGTCATACTGTGCCCTTCAGCCCCGCCATGTGGTCTCACACTGCAAAGCACCTTAAGTCTGTGCCCAAAGGTCACATAACATCAGGCCACAGATGGCAACAGTTTAGATCGGAACAAAGAAAACATGCAATTCACTTTCTCAAGACTATGAGGAAAGCAATCTGATCCAATGCTGTACAAGTGCCCAAAAATGGGCAGGAAAGACAGGCTCAATAGTGAAATCTCATTTAAAATAAAAACAGCATAGATTTTCCAGGGTGTCTTGCTTCAGGAAATTTCTAAATTTCAAATGCGTTAACATTTAATAGGTACAGATACAGGCAAACAATCCATGAGTGAGTACTGGGTTACCTGCTGCCCGCTACCCTTTTCCAGACGGTCTACCATCTCCTCGAACTGCAGAGGAGTGATCTCCATCTTCTTCTTCAGCCTGTTCAGAAACGCGTCATCTTCCGAATCCAGGTCATAGTCTGGTTGCTCTGTGTCCAGACTAAACGCTGCACCAAGAAAGTCAGATGGAGTTTAGTCAAGTCCTCTGAGAGGATAAACACAGGCAGACGCAGACGTGAATAGGGGCAGCTTCCAAACTAACCTGGGCTGTCATGCTCTTTACGCCAGTCCAAGTCAGAGACACACCTGAACACTACGGTCTCCCTAGCCGACCCAGTTTTATACTGTGCCTCTCATAAAACTGAGGGCTCAGAGCTTCAGGAACTGCAAGCATAAGGATACCAGGACTCACACAAGCACAGTCGCCCAACAGCACACATGGGTTCCTTTAACTTACAAACCTATAACTCCAGTCCCTGTTCTGACAGTGATGCTCTCACAGGGCTACCAAGTAATGCTGGGTGGTATGACCAAAAAATTGTATCACGGAATTTAAGATTCTGGTTGTTTCATGGTATCACAGCAGGGGTGGGTGGTACACCGGTACCATAGTCATTACCGGTGTGATTGTGCACTATGACATGGACTGCACTATACCCTCAACTCCATGAGAAATCAACAGTCTAATTATATAATAGCCTATTTATAAAAAAACATTTAATTTTCTTCAAAACTTCAGTTTGAATAGTCTGAATATTTCTCATTATATAGTATACAGTATGTGTAACTGGTTTATCCATGTTGTGTGAATTTTCTATTAAAACACACTCTGATCCTGTGCGTGATAGCAAATTAACAAAACAGATTTTGTGTGATGGCACACATTAAACAAGAACAACCCAGATACAGTATGTAGCAACAAATTCAAAAGCAAAACATTAACGCGTGGTAATGTCGTGCCAAAAGTAGTTACTAAAGCTAGGTATAGGCTAAAAGTTAAGAAGAAAGGTTGGAAAGAAGAAAAAATAAATAAATAAAATAAACGAGTGGAATGTCTGAATCAGCAGAGACGTCAACAAGAGGGGAGATCGCTGTTGTGGAACTGGTTTGATTTTAAATCATTCGACAAAGAGCAAACTTCAGTATCATGCAAGCTTTGTCATCGTGTCAATAGGGGATGCATTGCTACCTCCCCCTCGTTATTCACTTAAGTTACTCTGGATAACATAAATATTTTACCGTATGTTTCAGTAGCTGTGTACCTTGATGCTTTCATTGGTGTGTTTTGGTGTTCCCTGATACAGTTTGGTTCCCAGCTACCATGTGACCACAGAAGTGGTGTTCTTTTGGTACAGCAGAACTGGTCATTTTAGTTGTGTTATAGCAAATGAAAGTTCATATCAAGATCAAGACTTTAATAAATGCCATTGATACTCTCCCTTGTCTCCCAACAAAGTGATACATTCCATGTACACTTCACAGTATTTTTTCACCCCAAGGTCACCCTTACTGAGGCAACAACCTTTTACAACAATAAAATGTTTCTGAATGTTTTTAAAATGTGTATTTTATTATAATCACTGACATTTAGCTTGATATTATTACAGACATGTTTTATTAATGTATATGCAGTTCGACAGCAGCATGCTTTATTGATTATTAGTGTGCACTTAGCTCGATAATTGCTTCACTGACGTGTTTCGTTAGATTAATATTGTATATTTAGATAGACATGTTTACTTAATCGGTTTTGATTTGAATTATTACTACTGTGATAAATCAGTAATTAGATATTTTGCTTTACCGATAAGCATTTAATTGCTGATTGAAGCAGTAGCTATAAATACTAAAACGCTGAACAGGAATATATTGTTGTATCAAAGTTATAACTATAACTGAACACGCACAGTTAACAGGGGTCCCCCTTCAATACACTCTTGCCCAGAGATCCACATAATGCTTGTAGCAGCAAACAATATGATATCATTTGACAACTGTTACAGCTGTAGTTTCAGCTATGCTATGGCGGTATATGAAAAACTCATATCATATGGGAAATCAAAACCAGTATAGTAGATGAACCGATACCACCACCCAGCACTACTACCAAGGGTTACAGAAAGCTAAATAGATTTGTATTTTACACTACAATGTTTCCACCTGGAAAATGGCAAACAATCCCTTTGGCTGTGATAGTGCGCAAAGCATGGAACAGTTTACTACCAGGAAAGCAATATTTCACAGACATGACATACCCCTGCTAAACACAACATAACTCCAAATAAACGTGAAAACCTACTTCTCGGCAGCTGGGAAAATCAGCCATAACACAGTGGTGAAACACCATTAGGAGAGAAAATGCTGAAAATGCTTGAAATGTCGATGGCTGAACACAAGAGCAATCCCAGCTCCATCTAAGGTACATGTCCAGTCCAGTGTCAGCTCCCGCAGCCCCTTGCCAAAGGGGGCTCTGATCCCAGCAGCAGGAACTCCACTGTGACAAGCCAACAAAACCTCTGCAGAACACAGCAGAGGAGAGACGGATCCAGCACTGCACTCTCCTCACCCTGGTGCCATTCGCACATCCTGCTCTATTCAGCAGGTGATCTTACAGCCAGCAGAAGGTAACAACCTGACTCTAAGAACCAGGAAAGCACATCAGCTAGATGGACAGAGTAACAGCTGACTTGGCATTTATGCATTTAAAGCAAATCAATTCCCATCAGTCACACCATCCGCATGCAGACAGCAGTCTGGAAATTACCAGCAACACATCAGCTCTGACAATGGGATATATACACAAAACAACACCCTCATAGCAGAGGTTGACAGGCCAGGCTCCTGTCATACATTTAAGGGCAGACACATCACTTGAATTCCTCTAACCTTATCAAACTTAACAGCATGTACGGTTTCCTTCCCCAAACAGCAGCCATCATGAAGAAGTCCACTTCAACAACTGTCAGACTGAGGGAACACCGAACAGTTATCAAATCTGCACCTTGCACTTTACTCGCTTCCATCTATGCTTATGTGACTGGCGTGAACGGACATATATTCATTCAGTCCATACAGAAACTTTCAAGCTCATATTCATATCATCCCACTATCAAGTTAAGTGCACTTGCACAGATGCATGAGAATGTATGAGATACTGCTTGCACAATCCTGTCAATGTGCCTTTGGGAATAATGACCAAAGTGTGTGTTTGTGTCTAATATTATACAGTATAAATTGATTGGTAAAACTATTGCACTCTCTTAGCAATAACGAACAAATAAACTTGGTCAAAGATTCACCCCCAAAAAAGAAACAAGGAATAAGGGCCAGCTGTGGGCCGACCATGACTCACGCTGTAGGTGAATGAGCTGCTTGGGCATCCGGAACTCCCCAGGGTAGAGCGTCTCGTAATAGGCGATGTTGCTCTCCGCCTGCGGTACGGGGATGACCATGTTGTCCCGCTTCTCCCCGTACACCTGCTGGGCTGATATGGCCCTCTGGAGGTGGTGCTCCTGGGGTGGGGGCATACAGATATGAGTCACAGGGTCAAGGGATACAAATGATCAAGCATACAGCAGAAAGACAAGTGGCAAATGGGGCCAAAGCTTCCAGCCTCCAAACACTGCAATGCACTGACTCCAAAATCAACCAGACAGAAAGCTAAGAGCAGGAATCTGGCACAAACTCAAGGCTGGAGAATGCCAAAATTGAATTTACTCAGCCTAGTGTCTTGGAAAATAGTTTTCTATATGTGACTGTGGACTAACATTTAAAAGTTTCACGTAAGACCTACAGAGAACAAGTTCAAGGGGCAACTGAACACAAACAAATTTAAACTCTCCACAATATCCAAAATCAATATACTGCATTTATCCTGCACGAAAAATTAAGTTTTAGGGAAAACCAAATAGAATACACAACAGGTCTGATAAACCAGTTATGTAACATGTACATTTGACCATTTTTTAAATAATTTTAAACAAATAGCTGTATTACAAAAGTAATGGTAGAGATAGGGTACACAATTAAGCTTGCTGCTGACCAGTTCGTCCTTGTTAACAAGCATCATTAAATCCCATAACAATCCACATAAAGGCACTTGGTTGGCAGGTTTCAGGATGAACCATCTTGAGGCAACCATCAATGAAAGCTTAAAACATGCCAGGAGGTCCTTCAAGCTGCTGACCTGCAATGCAAGTGCCTACACATTCACAAAGCAGCCACAGTCATCTGTATAAAGACGTATGGTGAACAGGCTCAAAGAAATCAAATCAAACTCAATTAAGACCATCCTGTAGACCATGACGAACAACACCAACATAGGATCTGCATTTGTCTGACTGTCAGATTATATTTGCGGGGGCGGGGGGGGGGGATTCCCTCCTGGGCTACATCCTTCTGACAGAAAACAGAAATGTCTCTCAGAGCCTCTGCCATATTGACTCATCACACATTAAGGAACACCCTCACTTATCTGACCACATTCAACTTGGGGAGGGGGGGGAGATTCCATCAAACAAGGAACAGTGCAGACTGGCCCGCATACCCCCAATTAAAGACACTAACACCTAGACACTAGATACAAACATCTAGTTACACTGAATCTGGAAATTAAACTGAAATTCCAGCTAAACTCACAAGCGTGTCCTGTCCAGCATCCCCTGTGTCACTATACTTGATGTGCCTGAAAACTGAGAATTTATGTCCATTATGTTCCGCTGACATTCAAACTTTCTTACAAAACAGAACAGAGAAAACATAAGCATCTAGCAAACAAAGCTTAAGAATCAGCACTGCTATACACCTGGACAGCCTATAATCGACATGGACAGCTTGATTTCACATTCTTATACCATGCTACCTGCTTTACAGCAGTGTTCCTCAGCGTTCACAGTTCGACTTCTGATATTCAGATTGAGTTCTAGGTCAAACTGGTTTGTTCGACTTTCAAGAAATTCGAGTTCTAGAGGTACCACTGTATACACTGATTTAACTAGATATATACAGCCCCAGAAAAAATTGAGATTACTCTATATTTTTAAACAAATCTGCATTTTTTAAATCCTGGCTTAAATCATAGTTTTGTTGGCAGAAGGCTATACTGATCAGCAGGTTGCTTCCAGGTTCAAAATTTCTAAGACAGCAGTACACAAGATTAAGGTGAAGCTGGAGACACAGAAAATGACCAAAAACCAGTGAAGTAGAGGACAGAAGCAATTTTCTGATGCCAGAGAAGATCATTAACTTATGCAACAGTTTCATGTGAATCTGAGGATGACATCAAGTGACTTTCAAAAGGAATGGCAGAAATAAGTGCAGGTATGAAGTACACTGCTAGGATAGTATGCATCAGGCTCCTAGAAGCAGTCCCATAAAGCAAGGGAGAAGCCCTTTATTAATGAGAAACAGCGAAGAACCAGGCTTCAGTTTGCAAAAAAGTATATTATTCACAGCCACACACCCATAAATTTAGAAATGAAACAAAAAAATTGTGCTGTGGTCTCCATTTTTTTCCATGGCTGCATAGTAGTAAATTTCAAAAGTATAACATATGCAACCAGATTATTTTGCTTAATGTGTATAATTAGACCAAATCTGTTTTATTATTAAATGTATTAATTTGCTATCTTGACACAGCGTCAGAGTGTGTTTAATGGACAACTCATACAATGTAGATATACCAGTTACACAAACTATACAAGGACAAGATTGAGATTACTGAAGCTCTGAAGAAAATAAAATGTTTTTTTTCTCTAAATAAATAGCCTGTTGTATAATTAGGCTGATGACATCTCATAGTGTTAATGGTATAGTGCAAATTCACAACGTGGTGCACAATCACAACGGTGATGACTATGACACCAGTGTACCACCCACACCTACATCAGTGCATTGCGCCATTTTTAGTATCACAGCTAAATAAGTTTAAAATAGAATGCTAATGAAAAGGATGAATGGATAATTATTAATTTACTCAATAGCAATGTGGTGAACAAGCATATCAAACAAATATTTTTGACAAATAGCACACTGTTTTGGTCAGAGAGCCAGTCCTGTGATAGAGAATGCGAATGTGAAGATGCTGCTGCTGAGGTTTCACTTACTTTTTGCACTGATCTCATTTTCAAAGGATATTCTGGCTCTGTGCACAAGTGGCACAACAGGTATACAATTCACCACGTCAAAATGTGCAGTGTTAAAAAAAAGAATTTCAAACGCCACTATTCACTGACCCCCCTCACTGAACACCACTAAACCTGTATCTGATCCAGGTGTATATAGGAATGGGTATGTTTGAATTTTATCGATTCTAATTCTGTTTATCGATTCTGGTTCTTATTGATTCCCCATTTTGATTCCATAAAGGTAAAAAAACAAGCAGGACAAATGTTTAGATAAGAAATCTCTCTGAACAGTCCCAGCAGCAATAGTAGTAAAATGCTAACTATAGGGTTCCCCCAGTTCTGGCAGAATACATTTCCATGACTTTTCCAAAACATTTCCAGTACCAGATTTTCTAAACCCGACAAGTTTGCTTTGATTTGATGATCATGCATTGTCCGCTCCTTCCTTGTGCCAAACCCCCTCGTTAACCTCATGTGGAATCCCCGTGTAATCAGCTGTTTCTGGTTGTTGTCGTTAGTCCTCTGTATTTAGTCTGCGTTTCAGTTTGTTTCCCCAGTCCGGTCATTGTAAAGTCACTGTGTGTTTTCTTGCCTGCCCTTCTTTATTAAACCCCGTGTTCCCCAATTTCCTGACCGCCGCTCCTCTGTCTCCGCTCCGCGTCCTGCATATGGCACGACAATAATACTACCATTTTCGGTATGATTCATCTCAAATACGCAAAATCTGCATGAAAACGGATGTTTACCAAGGTAGTTAACTACTGACTTCCATTCATACATTTCTGTTAGCGCGTTGCGGAATGAAGCGGGAAACAAAAATGAACAAGGCTAGTTTCCAAAACTTTTCATTAACTTTTCCTCTCTATCCAAGAATTCCAAAACTTATCCAGGTTTTCCATGACCACGGGTACCCTGTAACTACAATGCATTCAGTGCAGTGTACATCATCTGCAAACAAACTAAATCAAATATAGTTACCGCTCTGTCATACTCCTCAATATTTTCTTTGGTCATCATTCCCTAAGGCCAATGAGAATGGTGTGTCACGGCTGGTGGTCCCTGCTTATGAGGTGCTAGTCCTACCACTGGCTGAAGATGGTTCATTCAGGCTCAGAGACCAAGGCATCAAACACCATGCACTCTTTCAAATCGATCCCATGTGGCTGTAAACATTTGGTTAGGTTGGATGTACAACCATGTGAGCAGTTTATTAGTTTCATGCATGTATTACACTCTGCCTTGTCTTGTCTAGTGTAATAAAGCCACACTTTTGAACATTTGTCACAATCCATGTTTGAGACTAGCACGCAGTCTAGCCCACAATATATATATTTTTATTCGCTAAGAATGGCAGTTGGCGAAGTCTTGCATTAAATAAATAGCTGGCAAATGAGTGAACTGTAGGAAGTTTAAAAAAAAGTGAAAAATGTTATTTGGGCTGAACTCAGGTGAATAATTTAGAAACCTGATGTTAATGGGTCAGAAAGCTGAGCTATCCCCAGTCTAAGGCCTTCTGCGACACTTTGGAGATGTCTTGACTTGCTCTGACTTTTCTGTATGCATCAGTAGCACAAAATGATTCAGTGTGACTTTGCAAAAACATGCTAGAATACTGTCAAAAATCACAAATTTGGCAACATATAGCAAACTTTGGAACACAGACCAATGTAGGGACAAGTCTTAGCTATACACATATAGTCATTCACAAATTCCTTTCAGTTTATTAAAGAGCTATTACTTGTGTATGTATGACAAGTTTCTGTTCAATTTCCTCTACCATGTCAAACAGCTGTGGTCATGAATATGAATGAGATTCACCTGGGGAACCCCCCATACTCAAATTTGCCTGTCTAGTGCAGAATTCAGTGTGAAATGAGACAAAAATTAACATCATTTGTAGTTTTGTTTCTTGAAAACAATAGAAATGGTATCGTAGAATGAGGTAATCAATCGTTCTAGCATGATTAAGAACAATCAGCTTCTTCTATGCCAGTCTTAAAACAATCCTCATCACGGTCACATTTGGCATCAGAGGATAAATTAATTTCATCACTGCTGTCGAGAAATGATTGAACTTCTTGCAAGCTTCACTGGCGGAGAAATGCAAGTGTGCAATTGTAAAAATAGCAAATACAAACTGCCACATTTCGCATGCCATTTTATTTCTGTTGGTGTTTCTGCATGTGGCTTATCGCCGCCTCGAACACACTTATCATTGGCATATCAATAACCGCTCACACTTGTCCACAGGTAAGACATGATGAGAAAACATGTTAGCTGATTATATTAATAATTTCATATAAAAGCAGATGTTTGTGTTTAAGAGTGGGCATATTTGAAAGAAGACACATTAAGGTTTGTAATAATATTTGAAAAACATTTAACAA